ACAACCTTATCAATCACTCTACAGAGCAAGAATCTCTCCTATTCGATGACAATTAAGGAACTTCGTAAATATTTTTTTTTGGCCAAAATTGGTGAAGTTCATTCTCTACTTGGAGATCACCACCTAAGTGCCCTACATATATGATTTTTTTTATTCAGAAAGAAAGATAGGTTCTTTTTCTTTCTTCTTAAAAAAAATCCCAAGGATACAGGAAACAAAAGGCCATCTGTACAGATAGTAAATCATGCAGTGAATTATCTATAAAGTTGCTTTGTCTTTAAAACTGTTTCCTAACGAAGCCGAGCATGCAATCAAAACAGATCAAAAAGATAAAAAAGCCAAAAACTTTCTGGTTCTTCTTTCTCTGATTTTAGTCTACAAGAAGCCATAACTAATCCATGACATTGAATCAGATATTAATCCATTGCAAAACTTATTAAACTCATGAAAAAAGGAAAAGATAAGTGTCATCAACAAATTGAAGATAAGAAATCTCTACCTCATCATACCCCATAAAAGAGTCCTTTAACACTCCACTCTTTGGTACGGGATAACATACAACTGAAAGACTAGCATAGTGAAGAATAGGAAAAAAGAGTCCCTGTCTTAACCATCTCTGCTACAAAAACGAGATACAGGCTTACCATACAATAGAATAAGAAGGAAATTGAAAAAGGGCAACACAAGATCCCTCTCTCCCACCTCCAAGACCTTTTTTCATCATGATTCATTACATACCTTCTTTCTCAATCTCTTAACTTCCTTCACCACTTCATTATTTATCACTATATAATTAAGAATTAAACAAAGATAATTTTAAATCTATAAGAAGAAATTTTCTGTAGAAAAAAAAAAGATTTTTATTAGAAGGAAAGAGATTACAAAGAATGAGAACAATGCTAAGGTATAAAAGATATTTTTAAAAAATTAACAAAAAGTTTTAAAAAAATGAAAATCTTCTTATAAAGAGCCTAGCAACCCTGGCCACTGGTGCCAGTACCATGTACCGAAGATGTTGGCACCACTAAGCCAGCCATAGGCAGTCATGTTGCATGACTTGGCCAGTTGCACAACATTACTTAGCTGGTCTCCACAAGCAACTCGATGAGTCAAGCTAGTTCCCTTCTTGGCCAAAATACATTGGCTGACGGCCTCGAGTCAGAAAGAACTCTTGTGCAATCAAGCCTAACAATAGAGACTAAGTATGGCCAGATCAAACTACATCTTAAGTGGACCGGGAAAGACTGACCTGATTCCCTATCTGATGTTTTCCAACAGGGTCAAGCAATTGCACAGCAGTCCCTCTGGATGATGTCTAGCATGATGCAACTCAGGACGCTTGTAATTTTCAAAGAATAAACTTAGCATTTTCTAATAAAACATAGGGGAAAAGAATGACCATCACAATTCAGGCTATCGTTAAATTGTTATCCATGGGACAGATCTTAAGATTTCCTATTTGTTATCGAGAAATGAATCCACTCCACTAAGCAAATATAGTAATGGCTACTGCATATGTAATAGCATTTCATACTCATGGCTTCAAGCCAGCCAAATAGCCCTAGCAAAATTTAAATGACTGTAATGCTTGGGATGTACATCCTAAAACTTTAGGAAGAGATTGTTGAATTTCATAATGATGTATCAAAATCCAGGCGTAAATGCAACATAAATGCAATACTTTCAGTAAAATAATATGCTAATACAAAGAAAACAACATAAAACAAGGAGACATGTTAAATGCAGTTGACTGGAAATCTGAAATTTCTTTTGGCTTACC